ATAGAGTACACATAGTAGTTTAGAAACAAGTATACACTAAACTAGTCAAATAAAAACAGAAGATTATGTACGTGGATCGAATGAAAATTAAAACGCTTAATAATTAATAGTAAGATTCCTCAATTCCCTATTTGAATACGAATTCCTTGGACCAAAAAAGTAAGAAACGTAGATATATAAACAATTCAAGCTATCACAGCCGTTTATTAGTATATACAGTAATCTCAAACGTCCATATAAATTTAGATAACATAAACCCTAGCTAACATTCCAGACTTCAGTCTTCTCCTTTTCTCGGCCGCATGGTCTTCTTTCCCTTCCTTCTGTCCAGCCTCTGCCTTTCTCACTTGGCATCGACACTCATCATCCCTTGTCCACCCGCGCTCCATTCTCCTCTTCCACAATGGCCGCCCAGAAGTGGTAGGATTTAGATTAGTTCATTTCCCCCCTTGTTTTCGGTCTTTAATACACCATTAGGTTTAGATCTATATTTCTTCAATATGTCTCTTTTGTTTTCTCTTTCAGAATTGACGACGATGAAGTTATAAGTGAGATTGCGGATATTGCTCGGGTGATGTTACGCAGGAGTGGTATATGTGGTTGCTAGACATGGTTGCGGCGTTACGGTGACGATTGAGAGCGATAGTAGAATAAGGGGCATCTATTGTGATTTTTGTGTAACTTTTTTCCTTCTTCTATTTGTTCTGTTTGTAAATTAATGGTACAAAAAAATTGTCGCGGGGACAATAATTTCAATGTATGATGATTATTATTATTATATATCCAATTTTTTATCAGATTAATTGAGATGGTGTGTTGATCCTATAAAGAGAAAAAGAGACATCATATTGTCCCAAAATACCATTTGGCAAAAGCCACCTAATTGCAAAGGAGATGACTTTTAGACTTCAATTTGAAACATATAAGAATGACATGTCGACCCTAAAAAAAGAAAAGGGAACGATACATTAACTCTACATAGGTCCAACACAATCATGAAATCAATTATGTGGGACAATAGTTTGTCCCTAAAAATAATGTTTAGGGGACGACTTATTGTCGTTACTGTTATAGCTATAGGGACGACATGTTGTCTTTCATTAAAAAAAAAAGAGACGACAACTTAAAAGTATCGGGGACGACTGTTGTCCCTACTAATAGGGACGGCCTAGATTTTGTCGTCCCCAAAAGAATAGAGGACAAGAGTATAGGGAACCACAAATTGGGGACGACTAAGTCGTCCCCAAAAACTGTAGGGACGATTTTCCCTATTTCCGGGGATGACTTTTGTTGTCCCCAAACCTACTCTTTTTTGTAGTGATGAGAGAGGTTCTTAATTCTAGCTTCCATTCAAACTTGTAGCTCCTCATTCTATTCCATCGACCATGAATGAGTCTCTTCTCTTCTTTCCTCCCGCCTGCAACTGCGTCGTTGCCCTTATCTTTTGGGTTTTGGTTATTGTTCTTCTATTATATTGTGCAACAACCCATAATCCAAAGATAATGCAATGACAATTTGAACCCGTCCCATTGGGTATTATTCAACATGATCCACACTGGGGCGAGTAATACTCGATCAAAAATAGTGTGGGGCGGGGCATGGATACTACTTCCGTCCTGCCTCGGCCCGTTCTTGACCCACTCCATCTTAATTTATTTTATTATTTAATTGTATTTCTCCTAATTTTCCTTATTCTAGATTATATTTTCACCAAATGCTACTTTAAATAAGTGAAAAGACTTCCTTTTACAACTAATATCAATCAATTAATCTAACTATTATATTTATTTTCCATTTATGAAATATTTTCCATTGATATTATCGTGACAAATAAATATTTTCTTCAAATTATACATAACAATGGGCGATATCCCCAACCAACTACCATACAAATATTACCTAATCTTATCTGCACTTGATGTAGGACAAATATGAGTATTGAGGTACTCGCTCGCCGCATTGCCATCAATCCTCTAAGTCCACATATCTTCACCCAACCGAATATTAACTTATAAACACCTAAAAATAAGCACAACATATCTAAGCCCCCACATACCTTCACCTAACCGGATATTAACTTACTAACACCTAAAAGTAAGAGCAACCTAAAAAGCTTAGTGAACAGTAAGTGAGGTTTTGCTTTATATATATATATTAATTAATGTTCAATAAACCAAATGCGTGAAATATGTTGGCAAATTAAATTTTCCATAAAATCTAACACATATAATTTTTCATTCTTTTCACTAATATCCAAATAGGATGTTCGTGCTCCACCAAACACCCTCAAAATATACCGTTAGAGAATTACACAACATCATGTTAGAAAATAGTTTGACACTAATTTAGATTCACCAAGGGTCGAACCGCTCAAACCCTGATCGACCAAATTTTCCTCTTCTATTTCTGTAAGTTTGCAGTTTGCATGCATGCATGCATGTCCATACCTATTTGTCAGAACATAACATATATAGTGACATCTATCGTACAAAAGCTAAATGTTGGTGTACGATAGAACCATCCACACACACATGTGTGTGAGAATGGTTCTATCGTACCTTGAGTAAAATCAAAAGTATGTCATATCCTGATTACGAAAATGATATATATACCTTAATTTGATCGCAGCTTGGGATCGTCGGACAGTGATAGTGGTGGGAAAGTGCCACAACACGGTGTCGATGGTTTGCGGGAGGAGGACATTGATAATTCAATATCCATCATCTCCAAGGGGGATATGGATTCAGCCCTGCAGATTTTTCTCTACTGCATCTCCTACCTCCCCCACTATTCCCCTTTCCTCTGTTTCTCTCTTCTCTTTCATTGTAACCATCTCCCCTATCTTGTCTACTGCACATTTATTTTCTAAATCATGTTGGTCTGACGATCCATGTTCTTTCCTCATCTAGCCATTTAAGGTTGTGTTAGAGGGCCTCCCTTGCCGGAGGTATTTGGCCGGCCGGCCGAAGGTTTATGATGAGACATTAAATGTGACTAATGACTCATTGAAGAGAACTCTTTATGGCGCTCTATGGTTTTTAATGGCCCCCTTAAATCGTTATTTATGGATGTGAAGAACCATGGATAACATTAAAAAAGTTCTTAATCCTAGCTTTGAGTCCTAAACATTGTGAAGCATGCGTTTCATAATACGAAGAAATTTATTTTCGTTTATCTCCTTTGACACCTTGATAAGCGGTTGGGATTCCTCCCTCAATTCTCTTCAATGTAATAGCAGGATTCCGGGCCTCTTTAATGCAACAGTTAATTCATTTTATAATTTCAAGTCTTGGATCTCTTTTTTGACACTTTAAATCATCTGGTGTATTAACGAATCTGATCAAAACCTCGGTGGAGAATCAGTCATGGAAACCCATCCGCTTGTCTCAAAACGGCCCGGAATTATCGCATTTGTTCTTCGCGGACGATCTCATTCTGATGGGAGAGGCATCGGTGGCATAGGTGGAGGTGATTAACGAATGTCTTGAGCGCTTTGGTGCCGCCTTAGGTCAACAAGTCAGCCGCCCGAAGTCGAGAGTCTTCTTCTCAGGGAATGTTACTCAAACCCAGGGTGATGCTATCAGTGAAGCGCTGGGAATTCAGGAAACGAAGAATTTGGGGAGATATTTGGGAGTGTCGGTTATTCATGATCGGGTTTCAAAAGCTACTCACATAGCCCTCATTGATAGAATCGATTCCCGGTTAGCTGGATGGAAGGTCAGTTCTCTCAGTTTAGCGACACGGATAACACTAGCACAGTCAGTTCTTTCTGCCCTGCCAGCGTATACTATGCAGACATCGTACTTACCTGCCAGCATACGTGACTACATAGATAAGAAGCTTTGTTTGGGGCAGTTCAGAGCTGGGCAAGAAAATTCACCTGGTGGACTGGTCGACGATATGTAGATCGAAATAAGAGGGCGTCTTGGGTTTACGGAGCGCCTCGACAATAAACAAAGCGTTCATGGTAAAAATTGCTTGGCAGCTGCTTTCGTAACCAGACAGCTTGTGGGCGAGAGTTGTTCGAGCGAAATACCTCAGGAGGAAGGGGGAAGGGTGGCAGCCACGCACGACAGGACGCATGTCCAATTTGTGGCGTGGGGTACTCCGCGTCCTGCACTTGCTCCCGAAGGCGATTATGTGGAACATAAAGAGTGGCACGACTGTGCGCTTTTGGGAGGATAAGTGGCTACAGGATAGACCGACACTTGTTGAGCTGGCGAGAGAGCTTCCGGTGGAAGCAAAATCTTTGACGGTGGCTGAACTTGTTCTGAATGGGGAATGGAACACTCCATATCTACAAGCCTTCTTGCCGCAAAGTGTGGTGCAACATATACAGTTACATCCGGTACCGCAGGAGGAGGGACCTGATATCCCGATCTGGAGACTAATGGACTCAGGTAAATTCTTCCTCAGGTCGACTTATGAATTACTTGTCAAGGAGGTTGTGCTAGGGAATCATTGGCAGTTGTGGAGAGTGGTGTGGCGTACTCCAGCAACCCATCGCATCCGAGCCTTTTTGTGGCTGGCGGCTCACCGTAAACTCTTAACAAATGAGGAGCGGAAACGGAGGCATCTCACCACCAATGACACCTGCCTCCTGTGTGGAAATAGGCCGGAATCGACGCTGCATGTGATCCGAGACTGCTCTTACGCGAGGGCGGTTTGGGCGGAGTTCTTGGATGGGGAGCATGATGAGATTTTCTTCCAAGAGGGGATGAAAGCTTGGCTTCACCACTATCTGATGGGGTGTGGAAAGAAGTTGGATGCGACTTTGTTCGCTGTCCTGAGCTGGGTGCTATGGAAGCATCGGAACAAATGGGTCTTCGAAAAATAGCTTGCAGCAGTTGCCGAGACACAGCAGCAGGCACGATGGTGGTGCGACCAGATTGTTAAAGCTTGGAAGAAGGAGGAGAGGGTCTTTACGGAGGTGGCAACGCGGCGGAACGAGCTAATTGCCTGGCTACCACCCCCGGCGAGATGGGAGTGCTTAAACACGGATGGGTCAGTGGTTTATAACCAGGGAAGCGCCGCTGCGGGAGGAGCTATTCGGAGGGAGGATGGACACTTGATAAAAGCCTTTACGGCTAACCTGGGTGGAGGATCGATAACGAGAGCTGAGCTCATGGGAATCTGTATCGGTTTGAGAGTTGCTTGGAATGAGGGAGCGAGGAAGGTGGAGGTTCAGTCGGACTCGAAGGCAGCAATGGAGCTGATCAAGAAGCCAGCAGCAGGGAGTCCGCACTACAATGTCATCTCCCAGATTCGTCGACTCATGGGTAGAGAGTGGGAGATCAACCTTAAACATGTGTTTCGGGAGGCGAACATGGTGGTGTATTACCTCGCGTCATTGGGGCACTCCTTCAGCATTGGCGAGCACCTTCTCCCGGTCCCGACGTTGACACTCAACCATCTGATTTTTCATGATGTTTTGGGTATACAGACCCCCAGACTTGTTCTAAGTTAACAGTTGGAGCGCCGTCTCGCTCCTCTTCACTACCAAAAAAAAAAATCATCTGGTGTATTCTTGGGCTCTCCTCCCCTCAAGCTTTGTCTTCCTACTACAGATTTATCACTCTCTATCTTTCTAGCTTTTAAGTTTAGAAGATTGTAAGTAGTGGCATGTTTCTAAGCTTTTTTATTTTTATTTATAAAAAATCGGTTGAGCCCATAAGATCACTACCTATCCCAAGGACTCCTCAAAAGGATTGGTTTATATGGAATCTTACTAAGAATGAGCCATACACTATAAAATCCAGTTATCATATTGCATTTGAAATGTATTTGATAAATTCTTGAAAAGCTCTAGCCTACTTAGTTGCAACCCGTGCGACCATTTTTTGTGATGAATCGCCATATTGAGAGGGTGGTTGTGGAAGAAGATTTCGAAGTTGTCATCTGTCATATCCATAAGGGCAGTTCGTACGATACCTTCGGTGGTCCTATCCAACGTGATTGTGTCCAGCTAGTCTCGTCCATTCCTCTTAGTGTAGTGTTTAGGTCAGTTCCTCGAATTCTTAATGGAGATTCCCACAGTTTGGCCCTTTCCATAGTTTTTTAGAGTTGGCATCTTTCGATTTTAATGCCTGGTTCTTGTTACAGTGGGTTTTTGGGTGTTGGTAGGGTGGAGTTTTACTTTGTGGATTGTTTTCTTTCTTAACATTTCTAGATTTAAAAAAATAAAAAGCAAATTAACGCAAGAGGAAGAATTTCACCTTGAAACCAAACACTATTAAACATTATTATCTTTGAGTCACCTAATAGAATCGCTTGAAACAACAAAAGCGACTATTCCTCCCTTTTGACATAATTTTTTAACTAGTCTTGTAACTCTTTTCTTTAGTGGTTGTTCTCATTGTTGGCTCAGAGTTCATTTATATATATAACTTGAGCTCTAGGTTACATGGTCGTTAGATGTACTTTGATGAGCTCCAATAGATCTCAACGATCAATTATTGTTTTCCACTAAATTGAATTTTGGGTTTGGATTTAGATAATCTGGACCTGAGGTTTATCCATTAGAGGTTAGGACATAGTATCATACCCAAACTCGATTAAATTCATGTTCTAGATGGAGATATCTTACTAGGAGTACTTGAAGTATAATATACTCTAGGAGTACACCAGTCTGGCCCATTTAGAATTTATGAGTTATTTCATCCAACGAATAGCACATTACCAACTAACCCATCAAACTAACTCTGAATCATTTGGTACCAAATGGCTAAACAAATGGCTTAGGTAACCCATCCGTTGATTGATGGAAAAGAACTTGTAAACATTATTAAAATATCAAATGAATTGAGGGAGAGAGAGTAGAATTGCATAGGCAAAATCCACCGTATTTGAATATCCAGACCAATCATTTTGCTCAGAAGTCAAATCTCCCAACCCACTATCCAAATCATTACTCATCAGCGAGCCCAAATCCAGTGGCCAGCCAACAGAAACTAAGGGTCTTTTGGTTGGTATAGTTACAATGCATGTATTGTCTATAATGATAGTTTTTTAAAATTTTCTGTACAAACAATAAATGCATTGTTTGCTTGAGATTTTTGGATTTTTTTTCTTCTTCCATCAATGTCCCTACCTTTTTTATGTGTGTTTCTTTTTTATATGAAAAACAACAGGTAAAAGTGACATTTCACTCAAAAAGTAATATATGCTACTTAAATACTACAATAACTATTGCTACGATAAAATGCATGTCACCGTAACATGGACTTTTCGGTCGACCTAATCTGCTGTTTCAGTTTTGTGAGGTTCAACGATGCGGTTGACCGTCTATAGAAAATGGTCGACCTTTTTGGGAAGGGAACAGAATGAAAGGTCGACCCAAATACCTCATAGGCCGACCATTTTGCACTTAATAGGTCGACCGCATAAGTACGAGGTCGACCGCGTGCACACCGTATCTGTATTGGATAAGGATTCCCACACTAGAAAGGTAACCCTAACTTATCTACCACTTAATTCGACCCATTCACGTCCTAAATATCTATAAATACGAATATATGTCACCTTCACCGCCACAGAAACTCTGAATTAGGTTTTTTTTTTACGGTTAGAGCCTTTGTGAAGAAGATCCTTTGCGGTTGCTATTGTACGTGTTGCAAGAGGTCGACCACGTCTAAGGTGAGGTCGACCTAATGTAGCATTCGCCGTCATCAATTATAATGCGTAATTTACACCATCCAATTTGATGTATTGTTGCGTGCATAATACCATTAGGTCGAGCTTATATCAATCCGGTGTCGACCTCTGTTTGACAATTGCTCTAAATTGAAATTAGGGCACAACATTCGGACTTCTGTACTTACGAGGCAAGGAAGATCAAACCAATAGGTTGACCTAATGTTTATCAAGGTCGACTGTACCTGTTTGTTTTGGTTGTTCATCCTGAATGTCGACTTTGGATTTGTTTGTAAGACTATGTTGTGCTTAAGAGGTCGGCCGGTCAATCTGTCTGGTCAACCTATCCGTTGTTCGTGGTAATTTTATACTTGCTTTTGTTGGTAAATTGGTATTTTCATGCTGGATAGGTCGACCTATGAAGAGCAAAGGTCGACCTAAATGGTTTTGGTAGTGACAAATTGTCTTTAAGGTCAACCTAATAATATGTCAGGTCGACCACGTCTCTGTTTTTGGTCAATTGCAGAAAATTGTAATTGAATTATGATTTGATTTTTTCGTTAAATTGTTTAGATGATGGCACATGATGAGGGACAACAACACAATTTGGGTGAAATCATGAAAGTGTTGAAAGCCATACAAGAGCAGCTGGTGGTGTGTCAAAAAGAATTCAATGACTATCAGAAGTCTATTCGTGATACAGTGGAGCAATTTTCAGTTCGATTGAAAGATATGACTGGGATGATGCATGATGGGTTTGAGAGGCTAGAAGGTGCTATCAGAACGAATGGAGAATGGAGGAAGAGATGATACAAGAAAGAAATTTGACTTTGATGAAGAGGAGGAAGACCATGATGACTCTGCAAATTGCTACCAGAGCATAGACGATTTATTGAAAGAGCACAAGTTAAAGGTAGACAAGTATATTCACATGTGAGTGAATATATTAGTATTACTATCATTAGTGCTAATTTGTTTTGTTTATATGTTTGACAGAGTGAAACAACGTTTGGCAGCAAGGGTTCCTCTCCTAAGTACAAGAAACCTCGATATGAAAGTGACTCCTACACCACTCCACAGAAGGATCATTTAGTAAGAAAAGGATTATTTAGTGCTGATAGCGACGAAGATGAATCTAAGAGTTCTTTCGAAAAGCATGGAGTAAATTTACGTTACATATTCATCTATAATGTGTGTTTGTGTTCATATGTAACTTTAATTTTAACTATGATTTGTAGGTCATGAAAGTGGAGAACCTAGAAGGATTCACAAAAAATCTGCAAAATCCAATTGAAGACTTGTTTTATGTTGTTGCTAAAGATAAGGTTGGAGATACGAATTGGGACATGTATAACTAATTATATAGTATAGCTCGCTATAGAGAAGCTAGAGATAATAATATAAATAAGGGTACCTGATCTTGCTTCAAAGAAGCTTTCTTAGTAGAACTACTAGATAGAGTTCAATGAAGATTGCTCCTGCAATAATCAGACACTTAACCTCCAGTGCTGCACTAACTTCAACTACAGGTGACGAGTGAAAGAGACGTTTTTTTAAGTAGTACATGTGGTCGCCCGTTTAGCCAATGAGGTCAACCTTGACTGTGAATAGGTTGACCTGTACTATGCAAATCACAATTGACATCTCTGTAATTTTGGTTTTTGCAGTTTGACCGTTGACTTTTTTACTGAAAACTTGCAACGAAAATATTTGAGTTGGGTCATTAGCGAGAGTAGCTGGATTTGCTCATCCGTAAGTACTATAGTGCTAAAACTTTCATATGAATTGTGCACTATTTATGTTACAATTTACGAGAATTTTGTGGTTGATTGTTGGATGATAGGTAGTGGATTTGTGTGCAAGGGCACTAACAATGTCTGAAAAACATGAGGTCAAAAAGCCAAATGCATGGTATTTGCCAAATATATTTTTGGTAAGAGCCGTAATGTTTATTTATTTGTCATAACCTAGTTATTAATATGTATCATGTCAATTAATCTCAATTAAAATATGGTGCAGAAAATGGTACGCGCTAACATGAAGACCGAACGAATTCGTAACAAGTTGATGGATGATGGTGTGGTGTTTATGCCGAATTTTAGTGCATGTCAGAAGGTTAGTCAATGTCTCTATCTCATTTATAACTTCCAAAGTGCATTTGTTTGTATTCGATTTTTATAACATATACTGAGTCTTTCGTTGCCAGATATTTATGTCAGTTCCAGATGATGAAGCACGTCATTGGTTTCTGTATCTCGTCAATGTCCAACAAAAAACCGCATTTTTGCTTGACAGACTACCTTCAACTAGTGAAGCGAATTGTAAGCGTAAATCAAACCTCTGCAAGAAATTGGTAAGTGTTTCCTATAATTTTCTGACTACTAAGTGTCACGTATTATGCTAGAAGCATATAATATTTGTTATTGGTGTGTAGTTGTCC